TGTGTCTGCCCCAGAATTAACAAGCTTTATTCCCTGGTTGCATGGAGACTCCCTTTCTCTCTCTCCCTCTCTCTCTCTCTTTCTCTTTCCAGGTGGAGTTTTCATTCCCCTAAGGATGGATATCATTCTCCGGCAAAGAAAAATCCACACCTCTTTCTCTCTCTCTCTCTCTCTCTCTCTCTCATACTCACACACGCGCATGCATACACACACACATACACTCACACACAGAGGGAGAGTCTTTCAGTGCGCTCCCAGCATCTGAGCTCCTGCTTCTTTCCCTCCTGGATGTGTGACTTGCCCTGCAATTTCTTTCTATTACAGCTCTGAACCTGGATAATTTTTTTCTTTATTATTATTGCTCCTTTTCCCTTGCACATGTAGCTGTGCCTGGCAGCTCTCTCAGCTCCCAACTTCATGCTGTGCGCTAGAATAGAGAGCTATTTCCAAAGACTAGAATCACCCAGCCCTCCTCCTGCTTCCATTCAAAGAGACACAGAAGCCAAGGGAGGGGAACGGGCTGTGATGCCTATTACCTATGAAGAAATCAGCTGGTGCCTTTCTCTGTCTGGTCTTCCTCCCTCTTCAGTTCCAGGACTTTGAGCAGCTACAGCCAGTAGCTGCAGGGAGATGCAGCTGACTAAAGGTGAGCCAATGTTACTTGCTACTGAGAATGCAATAAATTAAGCTAAGGCATGAGGGTGACGGTTGCCTCAGACAGGTTGAAGCCAAGAATGAGTAAGAGAGAAAGCAAGAGGGGAAACATTGCATTGGCCCAAGGAACAGATCAAAGGTGAGATTCTGCTCTGAGTCACACAGTTACAAATTTAGAGGGACTTCACTAACTTTCCATGCCCACTGAAGTACTTGGTTCTGGGATTTGTGGGTGAATAGTAATGGAAGCTTATATTTAACAGCATCATTTAAAAGATAAGAGCACAGAGCTAGGTAGAGACCTGCCAGGCTGTTGTGGCTATTCCTACATGGCTTTGAAAATGAGAGGAGAAAGTCGGGGGGGGGAGCACATTTGGAAATAGAGGCAGGGGGAAAAAAAAAGAAGAAACCAGAAAAATAAGTCTATGACAGACTGAGAAAGGGGAAGTAGAATGTATCAAGCTCATACAAGCTGTGCTCTTAACTCTCTTTTGGGTCTCTGTATTTTGAAATCCAATGAAATATCAAACCCCAAGACATATATAAGGGGGGGGGGCAGTTTAGTATTGTGGCCTCTATATCTAGAATTGAGGCAGTGCATGTTGGAGGACCTGCTTTCTCTTCATTGCAAGAAGAGGGCCAACAGGGATTCTCCTATCTCCCTAACTTTGTCAATAAATTGTCAGGGTTTCCCTTTTTTCAGAACTCCAGTGTTGAATCCAGAGCAGATCTGGCTCCCTCTTCTGGTGCTGGGAACAAAATGTGATATCCTTTTCCCTTGAAACAGAGGGCTCAGAAGGTGGGAAATAGCAAAGATTAAAGGGTCATTTCCTTATTATAATTTGTTTGAAAGGTTTTACTACCAAGAAACCCCCACATCAGACACCTCCTATTCTTTATTATAGCATCCAAACTAATGTTCATCACCTCCCTAGACAAGTGCATGATCCCCATCCCAAAGATTTTACAGTCCGTCTCTCAGCGTCTGAAACATGAATGGTGCCCTCAGGCTGGTAAACGCTCTCAGCTGTATATTCCATGCCTGTTACCCTTTCCCCATCCTGCATCTTGCCCTGCCATCCCATCATTGTGTTTTTGATCTAAATTTAGATGGCACCAGGGGAGCTTTGACTTTCTTTTCAGTGTACCATGCGCCTCTATGGCACTCTATTAGTGCTGATCATTATAGAAGAGAGTGGAACATGCCCATTTCCTTTCTCTCTCTATTAGTGGGATTGTCTTTTGGCAAAGGTCTGTTTGTGTTAAGAGAAAGTTGGGAGACAACCAACTTCTGTAGCCCATCTCAGGGAATTCAGGAGCAAGCATATGCACATGAGCAAGTGCACACACACACACATGTACACACCCCCCTTATCTTTTCTGGTCTGCAAGGTGATTTCCATTGAACATTATTGGGTCCCTGTAAAAAAGACCTTCTCCTTTCTGGAGGGCAGAAGAATGGTAGGACCCCACATATATATGATTTTGAATAAGTTAAATGTCCTTCCTTTCTCAGAAAATGAAGGATTAATGCAAAAGAAATGCAGCCATCATGCTTTTTGCCTGTTCTCACTGCTTGATTTTTTTAGCTTTATCTGAATACACTGGATAGGCTGGGCATTTTAGGAATAATTCTCTGCCACACCACCCTGCTGTAAAGTTCTGCTGCTGGGTGTGCAGTAACGTGTTTTGCAAACTGCTGAAATACATTTCTTGTTTGGTCTTCTTGCTCTGAATGGTTGTGGGTAGCAGAAGATAAGGGACTTCTCATCAGCATGGGACAGTTAGCATTTGGGCTAATGTTTGCCCTCTCTTTTCTCCCATTTACTTCCCATTTCCCAGTGAAAATATCCCTCCAGGTGACATCTCTCTCTCCAGCCAGAGGCGGCTGAATGTCAGTGCTGCCTGAGTGACACCGAATGCTCCTCTTCCAAGAATATTGAAGGATAAGAGCCCATGTTGGAGAAGAAGGATGGTACAATAGTTCAGGGAATAGTTTAGGACTTGGGAGACCTGGATAGAAGCCTTTGTTATGCTATGTGACCATGGACAAATCACTTAGCTTCTCTGAGCCTCAGTTCCCCATTTAATAGATAGAATATTTATGCTTCTATACCTACCAGAGGTATTTTGAGGCTTGGTCCACTAGCATTTGGGAGGTGCTCAGGTGGACTATAGCCATAGAGGAACTAAGGAATGAACATATTCTGAATCCAAACTCATGTATGCTGCTTGCAAGACCCCAGCAGTAATTGTACTCAGGTTGGCTCAGTAGGAGGTAATACACTAACAAACTAATTTTCTAACATGCCATCAGGATACTGATGTTGGAGCCTCCTTCTGTGAGAGCTGCCATTTTACTGAGGACACTGTGCCACAGCGTGAGACAGCCTCTGGGAACACTCAGATCCAACCAAATGTGTGACCAGGGGATACCTATAAACCTGCAGAATTCAGAGTCCTAAGAAAAGCTAGAAGCTCAGAACTAAGGGGGTTGGTGATAGGAGGGAGTGGAAGATATCTAAGCATGGCTGGTTGATTATTAATCACAGTGCATCCTTTAGGGATAAAGGAATGAAAACTGGAGGTGAAGGTTTAATTGCTCAGACCTTTAAACTGCAAACATAACAGTGGGAACTGATGCTCAGGTGAATGCCAGGATGAACGTCGCACTTGGGGATCCTTTGGGATTAAGGGTGCTGAATTGTATGTAGATGATAACATTTCATAGGAGTCTAGTGCTGGACTGAAAGCCCTGCAGAGCCTCTGTCTGCAGAACAGCCAAAGAAAGGCCGGGCAGAGATTCTGCAAAGCATTCACATGCCATCTCCTTTCTGCACTGGAGGAAGCATTTTTGCAGGGAAGGGAATGAAGTGCACTCAGCTGTTTGTTCCAGGGCCTTTTTCCCCTGAGTCTGCCAGTAATGGCGTGGTGGATTTTACAACAGTGCCTTGCAAAAAGTCTTGCCTAATGGGAACTGAACTTGAAAGGCCAAGCAGGATTTGCCTAGACTTTTGAGCAGACATCCAGTCATTACCAAGCTTGGCTGGAATTGAACCAGTGAAATTCTCTAGACTCCCTTTCAGTCCTCCAAGTGATCTGGCACCTCTGTAAGAGAATGATAACAGCAGAGTGTTTAGACAGATACTGTATCTTTAGGAAAAGAGCCAGACTGTGATTAGCTTTCCATGGGTGTACCAGGGGGATATGGGTGTGAGAGCAGGGCCTTCCGCCTTGTGTAATGGTTCATCTACCATTAAGGCTGGGAAATGCGGGCATTATGTAAGGTGCATGGCAATGCTGATCTTACTAACTGGAGGGGAAGGGAGATGACTGGCATCAGAGGTGTCCCTTTTCAGGGATCAGTGTGCATTCCCCATCATACACCTCTTTCCCCTACCTAATCAATCAGCCAGACTTCCTTGAAGATGTCTCACTATGTTTTAGCTCTTCAATAGCACCTGGCCAGTACAACCAGGAGTAAAATAGTCCTTTCTAGATTCCAGTGGCACAGGGTCACTTTTCAACCATAATGTTGCTGCTGTTGGAACAAATCCCCTGTTGGATATGTTTCTGGCTCTATCATTTTCTTCCAGCTTGGAAGCTTAGGCTGTGTTGGAGGTACTGTTATAATGCATGTGCTCTCTCAGAAAAACCCTGCGGAAAGGAAGCCACTTATGGGAACAGGCTGCAGATACCAGGGGCCTCTCTATGAAAGGCTCCATAAATTGCCAGACTGGCTTACAGTAATGCAGTCCATACCAGAATAAGACCCTTGCCTAGAACCATGGCCCAGTTCTCACCCACTATTTTAACTCAGTGGTTACGTGGATGCCCTTTTGTCTGTTCCCTTAATCATGGGATGAATCAGGAGACAGCTTCCGGCCCTTGTTGGATTGTTCTTGCTGTTATCAGTCCAAAGTTGTTGTCAGGCTAATAAAAACACAAGGATTTTTTTCTGTGTAGCATGGAGGCTGGTGTTGTCAGGGGGGTAATGTACGCCTAGATTTCACTGAATGACCCTTATCTTGTGCAGCCACTCTGGAAACATATTACAAGCTCTACTTGAACGAATTTCCTTTCTCTGTTTTTGTTTCTCCTCTGCTGACGTTCTTCCCCTCTGGAATATAAAGAGCCGGATGGAGAATGTGCTTACAGAAGGTTGCAAGGGTGACCCAAACTTTGTGATACATTGGGATGAATTAGCAACCAGGTAGCCACCCCTGGGCTAAACCTGCAGTACTGGAGTCAATGGGATTTTAGGCACTGACTGTCTGCTAGTGTCCCAATAGAAAACATATGTGTTCACTGACATATTTGCTTATGCATGTATCTTCCTGGAGAGATAAATGGGAGTTGCTTGTTTGTGCTTGTTAGCAATAAAAACCTAGCACAGACTAGTGGCAAACTCCCCCAGCAGGGTGTCAGCTCTGCAGGCCTGCTTGTACTCTCAAATCATTGAATCACCGGCTTAAAGACATGTCCTCAACAACTTTAAGAACTCTGCATTTTATTCCTCTAATTGTTTTTATTAAGAGCATATTTGTCTCAAAACAGAATTTCTCTACTGCAGCTGTTCCTTATTCCCCACCTGCAGTCCCAAGGTGAAATCTATGGCTCACTGAAGTCAATGACAAAGTCCCCATTGCCTTCATAGAGGCCAAGATGTTATCCTCAGGCTTGGCTCATACCAAGTCTTTAACAATGGCTTCATAGGATCAAAGTTTCATACATTTTTGTAGCGTGGGCAGTTTGTCGAGAAAAGGTGTCTATTCTTTTATGCAAATATAGAATGAAAGTCTTGCCATTACTTTCAGTGGAAGCATTGAAGAGTTCTTTGTGCACAGGTATAGTCCAACCGCAAGAGAAGGAAAGCTGTAAGCTGACACCTGTGCCTTACATGCAGGAGCCAAGGACCCAGGAGGGGGGATGCCAGGGCACTAGAGCTCATATCATCAACACAATGAAAATGAGAGGCCAAGTAGCTGTCTTCTTGCTGAAACCAGAACATTTGCTAGAAACAGAGTGGAACGCTGACCTTCCTGGAAAGCAGACAGTCCTGGCTCTTTTAAACTGCTTCACTGTCCTCAGGGGGGTTTAGTCCATCATCACCAATTTCCTAACAATTGAACCAGAGATCTAACTTTGTCCAGTGGCTATAGCATAGGATTCAGAGGGCAAGCAAACCTTGGCTTCTAGTCTCAGCCTTGTTTGTCTTTCTGGGACAGGGACTGTCTTTTTTTTGGTTTGCTTGTATAGTGCAGATGATTACAGATTCCCTGTCCATGTTGGGGACATCCAGGCAGCATGTTAATACAACTGAGTAAAATAGCAAGATCTTGGACAAGGCTCTTCTTCACCAACAGTACCTATTTGTGAATTTCTTTGGGATCGAAACATGCAAGGTGTGAAGTGGTGGTGGTAGTTGGGTGAAATGCTTGGGAATGGTAACCACAGAGCTTGGTTTGAACTGTCATTGCCCTGCAATATATTCAAGGGCTGCTTTTTTGATGACTGGAGTGATGGGCTTTGACACAGCTCAAGCCTCAAAGCAAAATCTCCACATTAGAAACCATCATCCAGCAGTGGTGTAGTGGAAATGGGAGTTCAGTTTCTGCAGTGAGATCACTGGGAAAGAGGAAGAGCCTTAGAACACTACAAGATATGTACATGTCCTTGGTGGTATTAGATGGGTTTTCCCAAGCAGTGTGGGTTCAAGTGTTAATGTTCAGCCAATAAAACTAGAAAAAGACCCCAGATCTTCTGGCTCCTTTCCCCCCCTCCCTGCCCCCACCTTTGTCTCTCTGATGAACTTGTTTTACTTTTTTCCCCTTGTTTTCTCCTATTCAGATGCGATGAATCCCGTAACCAGCTCCAAGGCTACCTGACAGAGGTCAATGGCTGCTTAGCAAGGGGCTGCATGATTATGCAGATAGATCAACATGCCTCTAGCAGACTGGTTTCTCCGCCACTCAGTTACTATGTGGGTGCTCCTCCAGAGCTTTGTTCTGATCGCTTTTTGCTTCCATTCAGCTACCACTTTCCCAAAGGGTTGCTACCATGCAGAAGAAAATGGCTACAAAACCATCCGCTGTAGCAATGCTCAGCTTGTGGAGATCCCTAAAAACATCCCCAATGACACCAGAAAGCTCTTCCTGGACTTCAATCACATCACTTTCCTCCCCCATGATGCCTTTCGGAACTTGCCATTATTGCTGGAATTGGATCTGTCCCACAATGCCATTACCAGGATGGAGATTGGGGCTTTCAGGGGCCTGTTGGAGAACTTGCATTCCTTGGACTTGTCCTCAAACAAGCTGGTGTCAGTCAACAAGGACGTCTTTAGCAACCTGAAGGCCAAGGTCAATCTCTCCAGCAACCCTTGGCTGTGTGACTGTAAGCTCCAGGAACTGATTGGGAAAGTAGACCTGATGGCTGGCTCCTCAGGGGGCATTGTATGTGATTCCTCTGCCCAGGAGGAGCATGTTGGCAAACCATTCCTGCAGCTGATCACAGATATGGACTTCTGCAGTGTTTACAAAAGGACCACAGACATAGCCATGCTGGTCACCATGTTCGGCTGGTTCGCCATGGTGATCTCATACTTGGTGTACTATGTCCGGCAGAACCAGGAAGATGCCCGGCGTCACCTCGAGTACTTAAAGTCCTTGCCTAGCAAGCAGAGGAAGTCAGAAGAGTCTTCCACCATCAGCACAGTGGTGTGATTGACTAAACTTTCCCTCTCTGCCACATCCCACCAAACTGAGGTACCCAGATGAATCCATGGACAGACTGCCACTGCATTTAATGGGCTTTCTCTCAGCTCCAGGGACATGCAATGTTATTAAACATAATCAACAACAATAACAATAATAATAATAATAATAATAATATTTTTTTTTATCTCTGGAAAATAACAGATGGCTTCAGGAGACCCAGCCTAGCCCACCCATGCTTGCTCAAAACAAAATGGGAGCAAAAGTGGCTTGTTTTTTTTCCAAGATTTTGCAGGACAAGAGCCAAGATGGCTCCAATACTGAACAACTAGCAAGTAACGAGTGGATGCAGGAGGGATTTGGGCATCTGTTTATTGTGCTGATTTACAAAGGGAAAACAAAAGAAACATGGAGTGTTCTCCTCAAACATTCAGTAATTACTCGAACTAGTCCCCTTTCAGCTGTTAAACTTCATTTAAAAAGTGTTTTATTTACTTTACAGAAATCTATCAGGGCATTTTTAGAAAATCAATGTTTCAGCTACTCTCTGGCTTCTTCCTTTGCTGTCGGCAAGGGATGTTTCCAGCAACCCTGGGAAAACCCTGTGATATTGCAGAATACTTGAAAATTGGAGAATAGTATTTTAGCTGAACTGTACACTTCTCTTGGCTTTGAGGAATGCTGTGCATCAGGTTTAAGGCAGATCTCAAGTGCAGGAGAGTGGTATGGGCTAATCTCCATCAGGATCATGAATTCAAACTGTACTTAAAACATTGTTTCCTTCTTCCTTCTAAGGGCCAGTAAATTCAACAGGAGCAGAGTTTGTTCAGCTTCTCCAAAGCTTTGGCCTTACGAGAGATGCAAAGAAGAAAGGGATTCTGTTCTTAGAGATGGCTGAATCTGTTAGGATAAAATAAAAACCTTTCCCTGCCCCTAAAATGCTCCCCCTCCCCTTCACCCCAGCCTTTCTTGTAGAAGCAAATCAGAAATGAACTCGTCAGTGTTCTGGAATGTTTATTATACTTTCACGGACTGGAACTAGATAATGTCAAAATGCCATGTGAAAAGCCATTCTCACAGCTAGCTTAGCCATAGCAGCCACACTGAAAATTACCCAAGGGAACTTGCCCTTATGAGATTTTTCCCCTGTCTACAGGCCAGAAGAGTCCCATTTTGAGGCTTGGATGCAGTCATGGGCAGGAGATGCACACAGCAGGTACAGGTATTTGAATGAACCCTGTCCTGGTGTGTGATTTGGCATGTGCAGTGAGACAGGGAATGCCTGATGGTATATGAGCATCTCTTTTTTTAATGTATGGGTGCCAGACCTGAAAAATGTATAGATTGAGCCTGAAATCTTACCCACCCCACCACCTGCCCTCCATCCCAATTGTAATGTTGTGCAGTGATTAAAACTGTAGGGTTTGGGGAAGGGCTTTCTGTGGTTCAACCCTTTACAAGTCAGCCTGCCTCATAGCAAGCCATTCTCCCGGCTCCTTACACATAATCTGTGGCTTTTACTTCCCCAGTGGCTATTGGTCATGGCTGAAAGACCTTGCATTGAACTGGGGGTATTCCTCACCATCCTGCACTTAATGGCCACCAGAAGAAAGGACTTTGGTCATCGTGTTTACCTTAGGACTCACAAGTTTGTCGACCTATCACTGTGACAACAAGTTGGGAGAAGGACAGATGCAGTGTGTTAAAATAGGAAGCCATGTTAAGTTCTCTCTCTGTCCCCCTGCTGGCAAGTGGTCTCAAGCTCTCCTAACTCAAGAAAAAACCCAACAGCTCTTCTCAGCATTTTCAGTATTGGGCTATAACATTCTCTCCTTTTGTGTTGAGAAACAATGCTATAACTTTTTGTGATTAAAGAGGGTCCTGAACCGTGATGTTTTAGAGCTCAATTGGCTTGTCTCCCAGGCTTAGGTTATGTGTATGTGCACATTTGGATCAGAAGTTTTGATTTGGCCTTTGATGGGAGGAGGAGAGGGGAGGGTGTCAGCTGCTAAGTTTGAATCCAGATTCAGCTGGTCTTTAAAGAAAAGAAGGTCACGCAGAACAAAAATCTTAAAAGTAACAGCTGGACCTATTGCCGGTCCAAGGGGAAAAAGCCATACAGCTGTTTTGCATGGTTCATACATATTACACAAACAAGATAACTTGCCATAATGCAACGAAGGCATGGAATACAGCTCCTTGAAGTAAGGCTTTGCCCTGATTTCAGTAGACTTTGAATCTAGCCCCAAATCTCCCCCCCTTGCTTATGTAGTTCTGAAAGCAACCTGACAATATATTAGACCCTTTTATTGCTATTATTATTACTATTACAGACAGGCTTTCTGCTGCAAAATCTGGATTCAGATCCTAATGAATTAATTTTTGCAACACTTGGGATGTTTAGCTATGGGGCCTCGGTTCAGATCCTTCTTTATTTTTTCAATCACCTGTTGAGATCAAATTATCCAGAATTGTCAGCAACAATCTTTGAATATTGGGAGAGCATGAGACGGCAAATCTTCAAATGATGTGGAAGAGATTTAGAGGCAGGAAGCAGCAGAAGGTCACTTGGTGCTCCTGAGCAGAACTGATATCCCACGCACAAATGGCCTCCAAGCTCAGATACAGTCAGAGCTGCTCAGATATATTTAGAAGTGCCTACTTTCCAAACCTTTCCAGGTTTCCTGCACCACGCACAAACATCTTTTGATACTGTCTGAAGGCACCTGTGTGCTTCCCCTGGGCTGCGCATTGACGGCAAAGACCATTGAACAAATGATTCCTTTTTAGATCGATGCTTTGTCCTGCATGGAAGTGTGAACGTGGCTGATTAAATGAAATAGATTGTTCATGTGACAAATGAGAACCAAACATGAATGAACTGCATATTCTACCCCTTCCCCTCACCACATCCACATGCACACGCACACGCACTCCACATTCCCCTCTATGCTCTGTTACCAAATCCCAGACGAATTCTCATCTGCTGGGTTGCCTGGTTTAAAACACTGAGGTCAGGGCATCCTCACCAAGTGGGAGAATGTCTTGATAACATCTGACTAAATGATGTGTTGTGTTTAAATCGGCCTTTTACATTCTTACTTTATATGACAATAAAGTTGACTTTTACTTTGGAGTTGGTGTCCCTTGTGTGAAAAGGGTGAATACTGCCTGCATAGCAAATGTTTCTTCACAACCCTGGGCCCAGGATTTATGGCAAGACATTTTGATAAATTGGATGCAGGGCATGCTACTGGGATTATCCCTGAAGAAGAGTACCCACCCCACAAAGGATGTCCTAGCTCGGAAGGAAGGTTATGAGCTGATGCCATCTCCAGGCAGCCCGTGGTTTGATCCTGACTAAGTTCCTTACTTAGAAAGAAAGAAATAGGAGGAGTCAATGGCTGACAGTAAAAGGCAGACAAATTAAAATTAGAAAAAAAGCACATGTTTTAATCAGTTAAGGTAATTCATTTTTGGAGCAAACAACCAAGGGAAGTAGCAGCAAGATATTGTGAAGTTAAGCATGACATAGAGGAAGCACCTGTCAGTGTTTCAGGAGGTGTTTGTATGATTTCTACATGGCAGGTCACTATTTCATTGCCAGCAGTAGACTTCAGAGAAGGTATTTCCCCATCATTTCCTCACTCTAGGCCAAACACATGGTCAAAGGCAGTCTTCACATCTGCTTCAGTAGGTTTGGACCTGGCCCTGTTTGTGCAAGTTTGGGGTCTGACTGATACTATATAAGGCAAAATACTGAACTAGGCAGACAGCGGCATTCTCAGTCACTGCCAGGGTTTTAGGGCTTGAGGCCCAACTTCAGAAGATCCCTCCATGTTTAACATGCACTTCTTTTGTGCATCCTATTTAAAATTGGCAGCCTTAGCCCTGACTAGGATATAAGGAAGCTGCTAGTTTGGTATTGTCAGAGCAGCCACCCATCCTACACAGCATTCTTTTAATTAGCTGCTAAATGGAGACATTGTGCTACTTGTCTCGAAAACCAGAGCAAAAAAGTACTGGCATACACATGCTAAATATTAAAACAGAGTGTTGAAAAAGCCAGAAAAATAGAGCAGCAGGAAGGAAACAGAAGAGGAAGTGGCCCTAAATAAGAACAAGCATGTGGAGGCACTGTACGCTTTCCAAGCCTGAGTTCATAGTTGCAGTCCATGTGAAGGAGTCTGACTATCTATATAGGCACTACATGTCTGTGTCTCCTGGTGCCTAATGTCCACGTGCTGGCTTTATTTGTCTGCAGATTGATGGCATGGGTCTCGATGCAAAGGCTTCTTTGTTGGCCTTTTTTGTGTCTCCACGTCTGCATGAATTATAGTTCTCTGTTCATTAATCCACCAGAGTGAGGAGGCGTATTGTCTGCTTTGCTTCACTTTGCATCTTCATGAATATACTGCTTTGTGCAGGAGGTCAGACTCGATGGAATTTTCTGACTTTAAAATCTATGACTTGGTGTCGGCGCTGGGGCTGTGCACGGAGCCAAGTCCTCCTCTGTGAGCAGAGAGAGAGACTATCTCAGGCAACCAGTCCAGAGCAAAGGGGAGAAAGTGATAGTGACAGTTTCAAAGCCTCCCTTGCAAAACATTGCCTCTACACATTGATGGCTTCACATGTCTGTCACCTTCCAAACACACCATTGCTAGCAATATAATTTTAATATCAGAGGCAGGGCTATGCAATGGTTCTCATGACTCAAATATCCCTATACTTCATGCTCAGAGAGCACATTTATCTTCTCCAAGAACACTAGCTACCCTCTTCTTTGGGAGTGTTGCTTGGTATTCTGCTTTCTATTAAGAGGATGGAGCTATTTAGAAAGAAGATACCCTGATTCCACTTAGTCACAGAGGTGTAACCCTACCTTAGCTTTGAATTAATGAACACACAGCAGCTAGGTTTCTGTAAATAGGAGATGCAGCCCAGGTTCAGAACAATTCAGATCACTGAGACGCTTGAAATTGGATATACTGGTCTTGTAAAGGCAGCAGGTGGGGCAGAGGGGGAAGTTTTTGCTTTAATCCAGCAATGAGCAGGCCACATCTGCAGCATTTGTTAAATGTCTCCTGACTGTATTTGGCCATTAAGTGCCTTGAGCAAATCAATTGTATACCATGGAGGTGGAGGGGAAGGCAAGGTCATAGCAGGAGGCAATCTCCCTTGTGTTAGCACTACCCAGTGGTGAAGTTACTTAGTTCTTTGTTTTGGTGCCCTAACAATTATCGTGGCAATGTTGTTCATGAACAACTCCTGGGCTAGAGGGCAAGGGAACTGGGATCCTTTCTTTTTTAATGGAACTGGAATATGTCATCTTAAATTGTATAAGACCTCAGAATCGAGTTCAGACTGGGACCACTCTCTGTGAAGCTATGCTGTCTACACATTTCTGCCCTGATCTCATACTCTGAGCTAGCTGAGCAGTTACTCTGTTACATTTCTCTCTGCCTTGTACCCATTCATATATACCTGCAGCTTTTTTTTCTGCAGTGATCATCACTAATGACAGCACGTGAGCAGTTCCCCTTTAAGATGGGTGCTGATGAATACTGCCTGCCCTTGAACTCTGCTGTAAATTTATATCCATCCATGTTCCCCTTTCAGAAATGAATGTGGTGGCACTCATCATTGGTTCCTCTGTGCATACAGCTTTAGCCCTGGTATATGTTCATAAGCATTTACCATAACTCCAAAAAACTATTTTGCAAAATCCTTTGCAAAGCAGTAGAAACCAGATACCTTAGCGTTTTTGCAACTCCCACTAGAACCCTATCTGAACCTTCAGACACCTGAAGACCTTTAAAAATTTGGCTCAGAGAGCTTGATTGAACCATATAGTTGCGCAACCTCACTGCCTTCATCCAGGGCTGCAGGGAAGTTAGCTGGCTGCAGGACAGTTGCATCATGTAAGGGAAATACTGTTTCCTGTACTTTGCATGATTGCTAGTCTGGTAATTCTGTCTGCCCTGCAGGAGCTCCAGGGAGGGGATTTTGCAGAAGAATCTGCAGGGGGACGAGCCACAACAAGAGACAGTCGTAGATCTGTGTCCCTGTAGTTCAACTTTTCCACTGACTGCTTAAAATACAACTGTAAGAAACCTGAAAATACTCTTTATTCCTAACAAATTTTAAAGACAGAAGTACAGCTGGAAGAGCAGTAGTGTAACTGAGGTGGGGATGACCAGGGCAGCAGCCCCAGGCACTGACTTTATGGGGGTGGAAAAATAGCTTCTGCCACTGCAGTAGGAGGCTGGCTGCACCACAGATGGCAGCTTGCCACTTGGCTGCAGCCAGAAGCACAGCAGCCAACACTGCCCCATGTACCAGAGCTGCCCTGCTATGCCTCTGTGGAAGAGACCTGATGGGTTTGCCTACACATCCATTTAAGCGTGCCTACATTTAATGCGCATTATTTTAATGCGCATTAACCAGGGTTTAGGCAGGCATCTACACATGCAGGCATTAAAGCACATTAACGCTGTATGTGGACTGCCTTGGGATTAAAGTTAGTCCCAAGCCAGTTCACACACAGCATTAATGCACTTTAATGCATCTGCATGTTCATTAATACGCTTTAACTATTTGTGCCTAAATTTGATACATGCATTTTTAGGTATCAAATTTAGGTGTGAATAGACTAAATTCGCCCTTTCTAAAGTGCACGAAGGGCATGCACATGTAGACACATGCCCTAATGCACCTTAAATTTAGGCTAATGTGCCTTGAAGCATCTCATGTAGACATGCCCATTAAGTCTCACTTAGTTCAGACTGGGCACATCTGCACGAGATGCTTTATTGTACAGCAGGTGAACTTGCTCTGCAGTAAAGCATCATCATCTACACATGTGTGGCAATTAGTGTGCAGTAGACTAATTTATTGCACTGCTGGATAGTCCCATCAGATACAAGTGGTATTTTACAGCGCAGTAAATTACTGTGCTTAAATATATGTGTAGACAGTGACATCAGGATTAGTTTACTCCAGCTTAAATTGAGCCAGAGTATATTCAGTTGAATTAATTGCACATGTAGCTAGATGTGTCCACTATCCTCTATCATCTAGATCAGGGGTAGGCAACATTTTTTGGCTGGAGTGCCAAAAAAAACCACAATGTCTACCTTGGAATGTGCCGGAGTGCTGGCATGCCAGAAAAACAAAATGAGGTTGGGGGGGGTACATGGCAGGACGTATTGCATATTAGTATATTTAATAATCATAAATTTTGCCTTTGTTGTTTTGTATTCCTTTTTTGTTGAGCATGTTGCAATGAGAGAGAAAAACGAGACAAATAAGAGAACGAGGAGAGAGAGAGAAAGAGAAAGAAAAAGGAGAGCAAAGAGAGAACCAGACACACGCGCGCATGTGCACACACACACACAGAACCACGTGCACAAACACAGAGAACCAGAACACACCCAGAACAGACACATGCACACAAACATCTGCAACCAGACACGAGTGTGTGGACACAGACACACAGAACCAGACAGAGGCAGACAAATGCACAGAACCAGATGCTGGGCTCGGAGAGGGTAGGAGTCAGGCGGGCTTAGCTGCTGCCAGCCATGAAGCCCGGGCTGCTCCCAGCAGTTGGCTGGGCAGCTGCAAGCCTGGCTGCAAGCCCTGCTGCAAACAGACCAGGCTTCATGGTTGGCAGCAGCTACCCAGAGCCTGGGCCAGTTGCAGCCAGGAGGCTGCAAACATCTGCTCCAGGCTCTGGCATCAGCTCCATACTGGCAGCTGCATGCACGCCTCAGACCAGATGGTGGGGATAGGGCCTGAGGCAGTGCAGCCCTCCAGCTATCTGCTCTGAGGTGCATGTGCAGTCATTGCCAGCATGGAGCTGATGCCGGGGCTGTGAAGCTTGGCACAGCTGTTTGCAGCCTGCTTGCTGCCTGCTGCCTGCTGCCTGCTGCAGCTGCCCAGAGCCCAGGCTAACTACAAACAGCTGCACCAGGCTCCAAAGCCCAGTCATCAGCTCTGTGCCAGCAGCAGGGGAGAGGCCAGGGTTGCGCTGCCTCAGCCCCTCCGCCGCCCCGTCTGCTCCAAGGCGAATGTGCACCCGCCAGTATGGAGCTAATGTTGGAGCCCAGAGCAGATGTTTGCAGCCTCCTGGCTGCAACTGGCCCAGGCTCTGAGTAGCTGCTGGTCTGCCTGGTCTGCTTGCAGCAGGGCTTACAGCTGCCTAGCCGCCTGCTGGGAGCAGCTCAGGCTTCGTGACTGGCAGCAGCTGCCTAGAGCCCAGGCTGACGGTGGCATGCCAAGCAAAATGGCCTCGTGTGCCGTGCTCGGCATGTGTGCTGGGGGTTGCTGACTCCTGGTCTAGATAGATAAATCGAGTGATCTATCTATCTATCTATCTAATTACCATGAAAACCAAGAAGTGGTTTTCATCATCTAGTTCACCACTCTAAATCAGTGGTTCTCAACAATTTTTACTTTAGGCATCCCTCAGAAAATGCCAGCTCTTAGTTTTCCATCTTGTTTTGACTACAGAAAGCTAATAGAGCAATTTTTCTGTTGCAAAGAACTCAGAAAGCCCACAACTGGACAGAATGGTTTCAACACTATGAATTCCTATTGGAAAGCTCTGGGTTTATCTTATGAGTCATGTTTGCACAGCTACTAGTGCTAACATTGTGTGGCACCCAGCAGCACCCTTGAAAGGATCTCAAGGCATCTTGCTGCACCCTGGTTGAGAATCACTGCTCTAAACAATTGCTCTTCTCTACCCTTGTTGTTTATACCCCTCAGGTGCCTGCCCACAGTTTTAACATGCTTCGTTGGCTACTGTTTGGCTGAGTAATCTATATCACATTTTGATTTAATTGAGGGAGCATTCATATTTTTGGCCACAGAAGCAGCCTTAAAATCAAAGTAGTGGCATAGTCCAGAGGTCCTCTAGAGGAGTGGACAAACAGAAAATAAATTATTTCATTTCCAGTGAAAGAGGCCTTTCATCTGAGGCTTCCAGAGACTTTTACTGTCACTATTTCTCACTACATTTTCTTTAAAACATTGACAAACTCAGGCATGGATTTGTATAAGAGATCTGTCCATCAGAGAGACAATGAAAGAACACATGAATCTTGGTGCACAGGCCCAATAGATTGCATTGATCTATCTACCAAAGCATGGCCTCCCCATCAGGTTTGCTAGAGAAGATCACACAAAGCTTGAAGCCTGCCTGAAAAAGAAGACATCTTGTATGAGTGTTCCCTCAATCCCAGAATTTCAGAATTTGTACATGTCTATACATGAATAGAAAATTGCTTCCTGGCCCCTGCAACAACCAGCTTCTACATAGTGCAAAACTGGGAGGACCTTTAACAATCAGTTATGGGCAGGCGTCTTGTATTAATAGGTAGAGCAGGGTATTGGAGCTGGTGGCAGATCTACTATCATCTCTACTGCAGTTTGCAGGTGACCTTTCCATGCAAGATGCATGTTACCACCTGGTCCAACAAAGGGTAACATTCATGACCTTATGAGGTATGACAGCTCCCGCTCATGGGAAATTAGCTTCATTTACCACATGGTTCACTCCAGACACAACCATGATGTGACGTGTTTTGACGGCTGAGCTCAAGGCCTGCAGATTATAGGCTCCTAAGCAGGTGGCTGAAGCTCTCCTTGTCCGCATGAGTTATCTTCTCAGGCATTTTCCTCCTGCTGCCCAGGGAATGGCTGAGCATAGAGGAGGATATATTTTTGTGAGGACACCTCATCATCTGCCATCTGCTATCACTGTCCTAGGGCCTGTCAGGGTAAGGTCTATGAACCTCCCGTCCCCCTTTCTTGTCTTCTGGTACCCGGAGAAGTGAATGTTGCAGAATCCTGGGGCCACCAACCCACCTTACTGATTTTTCTCTGCATTGTGGTATTACTCCCTGGGGCCAAATTGCTAAAAGAGAGAAAATTGCATAATACATCAGTCTTATATTGTCCTACAGTATCAGGCCATAGCAGATAAGCAAACTGACTCAACCAACTGCCCCATTCACAGCTCAGATCCCCACAACAGATTAAAATTATATCCAGCCAAGCAAAACTGCAGGCTATTTATCAAACAGTTGCTAGGCAGGTGGCTTAGAAATAACAGGCTCATGGTCAGACATAGTGATCTAAACATGGGTGAATGACCAATTGGAATTTACTAGGTGGTAACCAGTTTAATTCAGTCTCAACGGACACAGAAGGGATCCTTCTAGACATACCACTCTTTTTCACTGAATATAAAAATGGGCTAAAATTCTGCCCTGCTAATGCAAAAGTGCTAACATGTGGGGAACCCTGTGAAGTGCATCTTTTCTACATACCATTGGTGCTGAGTACATGGGGACCCAAAGGCCCTGGCCCCCCTCAGAAAGAGATAGTCCCAAAATAAGTACATCAGTACTTAGATTCCCCTTAGAGGCTGGTACAGTTCCAGCCTGCAAGGGGCTGCAGGGAGTAGGATGCCGGGGGTGCCATATGCATGCACACACATGCACATGGCCAGGATTACTGGTCCAAGTAGTGGTGGAGAGCAGCTCCCCCAGCTACCTGCAGGTAAGTCTATGAGGCAGGGGTGGGCAGGGGGGCAGACTGAGGCCCCTGTGGCGAGGCAGGGAGTGGGGCAGGGACTGGGCTTGGGTGCTGTGCCCAGCCAAGGTGGTATATAGGGCCCGGTCTGGGTCAGGGAGGGGACAGAACCATGTGCAACTTGTCCAGGGAACGGAGGCGGGGTCAGCTCCCTGCCACTGCATGCAGTCCTGGGCAGAAGGTCATGGGGGGCACATGCCCCCCAGATTTGTGCACGGGGGGGAGATGTGGGCTGCCCTTGTGGGCTCAGGGCTCCCCGCCCTGCTTCCTTGCTCCCGGGAGCCCTGTGCCACCATGGCAAGGCACCCCCTGCCCACCTGGCAGCAGTGGAGGCAGCAGTGCAGAGTTGTGCCCCTTGCTGTTGCTGGGCAGGCAGGGGCTGTCTCCCTGTGGCGGTATAGGGCTCCCAGGGGGAGGCAGCTGGGCAGGGAGTCCTGAGCCTACAACGGACACCCTGCATCTGCCCCTGGCCTCCCCACCCCCCATGGGCTTGGTTCGGCTTAACTTGGCTTGGCTCCAGCCATGCGGGGCAGGGTGAGGAGGGAGCATCATCTTAGAGTCTAGGTTCTTATCCCCACCCCCCGGAAAAATAGAAGTTGATGCCTATGCTGCATACCGCTGCTTAGAAATGCAGCTCATCCCCTCCTGTTTGAAAGCTGGCAGATTTGACTGATTTTAAAGTGACTTGGCTAAAAGGAACCCTTGAAACAACTATATTAGCTCATCAATACAAAAATAAAAGTCTCTAGATCCTCTAAAAGGGTCCTATCTGCTCAGCTGGTGGTGGTAGTAAACAGATGTTTGATTAAAGAATGGTCCTTTCCAGTTCTCCTTCCTGGTTCCCCATCCAGTATTGTTCCAGGAACTCCTGTCTTCCCCCCACACCTCCATCCTTGTAGCTTGTCATTAAACCCCTTTAAAGACTCCCTAACCAATTGGGAAACTCAGATGGAACTTTTAAATGATCTGTAAGACACATGACGAAAGTCTCTACTGACTGTCCACGTCCAGTGACCTCACTTCCTTTTGTTGGGAAATTAGACGGGACGCTGTGAGGCAGAACTTGAAATAAGTCAAAGCTTAATGATTTCAGAGGCAGAGCAGAAGTTTTCTGTTCGGGATACAACACAGGATCTGCTGCAGTTGGATATCATCTCACAGTTAAAAGAAACAGGAATTTTCTCCAGACACGAGACAGGTGAGTCCTGAGAGTCCAGTTAAATCTGTTTTGGGGAACTTATTGCCAGATGTCTCTTTTTTCA